CCGCCGTTATGCAGCCACTGAGGGAATGGAAAAGGCATCTTCTCTATCGGCCGCTTGCAGCTCGGCGCTTACCCGTCTGCTGAACGGGACTAAATTCTTTGCTTCCGCAACTCCGAGGCGGCATCTTTTCGTCGGATGCCTGACGTGGCCGAGGGTTACCGGCTGCCTTCCAAAGAAGGAACGCCGCAAGTTGAGCTCTTCGGCTGGGAAGGAGGAGAGTAAAGAGAGGCGCACTAGACTGGAGCTACGGAGCAGCTTTTCTCTTTTGCACAGCCTGCAGATCCAGGGATCCAAGCTGAATGCAAACAGATTCAGGACTCAGCAGAAGATAATATTCTGTTCCCCTGGCCTCTCGGATGGAGTTTTTAGAGAGTTAACTTTTCTAAAGAGTCAAGCATCATATAATTTACAGATGAGTAGAGTACACTGTGTGAACCATTATTAGGCAACTGAGCATTTTAACCATATCATTTTCATGCATATTTTCCACTTCCAAGATGTATAAACCTGAACGCTTACTGGATATAAACATAGCAGGTGATGTGTATTTGTGTAATGAAGGATGTGGCCTAAGGAGATCAACACCCTATATCAAGGTGTGCATAATTATTTAGGCATAATTATTTCCTCAGGGAAAATGGGCCAAAAAAGAGATTTAACTGATTCTGAAAAGTCAAGAATTGTAAAAACTTTTTCGGAGGGATGCAGCACTCTTGAAATTGCTAAGATATTGGAGCGTGATCACAGAACCATCAAACGTTTTGTTGTAAATAGCCAATAGGGTTGCAAGAAACGTGTTGAGAAAAAAAGATACATATTGACTGCCAAAGATTTGACAAGAATCAAACATGAAGCTACCAGGAAACCATTATGCTCCAGTGTTGTCATATTCCAGAACTGCAATCTACCTGGAGTGCCCAGAAGTATAAGGTGTTCAGTGCTCAGAGAAATGGCCAAGGTAAGAAAGGATGAAACCCGACCACCACTGAACAACACATAAGTTGAAACGGCAAGACTGGGCCAAGAAATAGCTAAAGACAGATTTTTCAAAGGTTTTATGGACTGCTGAGATGAGAGTGACTCTTGATAGACCAGAGGGATGGGCCCAGGGCTTGATCTATAAAACGGGTACAGAGCTTCACTTCGACTCAGATCCCAGTAAGGTGGATGTTGGGTACTTGTATGGGCTGGTATTATTGAAGATGAGTTAGTTGGATGTTTTCGGGTTGAAGATGGACTCAAAATCAACTTCCAAACCTACTGCCAGTTTTTAGAAGGCCCTTTCTTCAAGCAGTGGTACAGGAAAAAGTCTGCATCTTTCAAGAAGACCATAATTTTTATGCTGAGCATTGCTTCATCGCATGCATCAAAGTACTCCGCTGCATGGCTAGTCAGTAAAGGCCTTAAAGATGAAAGAATAATGACATGACCCTCTTCCTCACCTGACCTAAACCCTATTGAGAACTTGTGGGCCCTTCTTAAATGGGAGATTTACGGTGAAGGAAAACAGTACACCTCTCTGAACAGTGTCTGGGAGGCTGTGGTTGCTGCTGCACAAAACGTTGATAGTCAACAAATCAAGAAACTGACAGACTCCATGAATGGAAGGATTATGACTATTAGTGACAAGAAGAGTGGAATATTAGTCATTGATTTTTTTTTGAAATGTAAAATATTTATTTGTGCATTTTGAGTTGTTTATTATTCTCACTTTAACAGATGCAAATAAACGAGTGAGATGGGCAAATTTTCATTTTTCATTTAGTTGTATGATAATTCTGCACACTAATAGCTGCCCAATAATTGTGCACAGATATTCTCCTAAGAAAGCCAAAACCTCACTTTTACTTTCTTAAATATTCAGGTTTGAAGTTTATTAGCATTTTGGATTGACCAAGAGCACTGTAGTTGTTCAAATAAGAAAATCCTCCAAAATACAACTTTCCTAATAATTGTGCCCACAATGTAGAGTAGAATAGACTAGTGTGGCCAAGTGTGATTAGACATACAAGGAATTTGTTTCTGGTGCAGAAGCTCTCAATGTAAGTGTAAAACAACAGAGTAATAATATTACTCTATTACTCTAACAGAGTAAAAGGGGGTAGTAATAATATTACTCTGTTATATTACTACCCCCTCTTACAGAGTAAGGGGGTAGTAAAGAAGATAAGGATAATAATGCTACAGCTATATAACATAGGTAAATGTATGTAGATTTAGACAGTACTGTGAGAATTATGTGTTCAGTAAAGGTATGACGAAAGAAATTGTCCTGTGTCTAGTTCTTTCGGCATGCAATGGCCTATAGTGGCATCTCAAGGGGAGGAGTAGAAACAGTTTATGTCTAGGATGTGAGGGGTCTATAAATATTTTCTTAGCCCTCCTACTGACCTGCACAATATACAGGTCTTCTATGGAAGGCAGGCTGGTTACAGTTGTTCTTTTTGCAGTCCTATCTATCTGTTGAAATCTGTACCTGTCCTGTTTGGTTGCTGTACCAAACCAGACAGCTAGAGAAATATAAATGACAAACTCAATAATTTGTCAGTAGAACTGTATCAACAGCTCCTGGGGCAGTCTGAACTTTCTGAGTTGCAGGAAGAACATTCTTTGTTGTGCTTTTTTAATGACAGTTCTAATGTTAGGTGTCCATTTCAAGTCCTGGGATATTATAGAACCCAAAAACTTGAAGATCTGTACTGTTGATATTGTGTTGTCTAATATTGTAAGAGATGGTAGAGCTCCTCCTAAAATCCACTCTCATCTCTATAGTTTTAAGCATGTTCAGCTTCAGATTGTTCTGGGTGCACACACAGGGCCAGTATTCAACCTGCTGTCTATATGCAGACTCATCACCATCTTGAATGAGACCAACGACTGTTGTTATCATCTGCAAACTTTAGTACTTTAACAGAGAGATTCTAAATAATAAAAACTTTACTAAAATGGTTAAAATTATAATTGAAACTAAATATGAACTGATTATGAAAACCCTATCTTATGCAACTTGTGCTTCTTTGAATAATGTTGGACTACGATTCCAGATTGGCAATAGAAATTCTATATTTTGGGAGCCCGTTGTTGGGGAAGCTGTGAATTGCTTTGGCATATGACTTTACAGCAGTAAATGCAATAAATTGCAGAACAAGTAAGTGGTACCACCACTATTTGTTCCCCAGTGATGATAATCAGAAATGTTGGTTGTGCTGCCTAAACAAGCCTACTGGATTATTGTAATCCAGTTTTCTGGATTTGCATGATATACTGGATCATAAATTTACCCTATCAGAAGAATTGAACAACCCTCCATGCTAAAATGTGGTTGGCTATTTTGGTGCATGAAGATAGCCATGGTTTGAGGACACACTAATTTAGCTTTTTGCATGTTGGCATCCCCCAAAGTATGATTTTCATTACTATCAGCCAACAAAGTTTCATGACAGTCAATGATGCAAATTGTAGGGCCTTTTTCAGATGCTGAGGTAATGGTCTCCCCTGGTTCTTGAGTTTCAGAAAAACTTGAGGGCCGTTAACCCTGTGAAAACTCTCACAGGCAGGAGTATAAGGTGAAGACAACATAGCATGGCAGGAACAAATGTCAGTGGATGATGGCGCTGGGAGTTTGTGCCAAGGGGAAAGGCCTCATTGAAGAAAACATCTACAGGTAATCTTTGATTTACAACCATTTGTTTAGCAACTGTTACAATGCCACTGAAAAAAGTGACTTACAACAGTTCTCTCATAAATATTATAGCATCTCCCATAGTTATGTGATCAAAATTTGGGTGCTTGGCAACCAACACGTACAGTATTTACAATGGTTGCTGCTTCCCAGGGTCATGTGATCATCCTTTGTGAATTTTTCAACAGACTTCTAACAAGCAAAGTTAATGAGGGAAACCAGATTTAGTTAAGGATTGCATGATTCACTTAGCAATTGTGACAAAAACAGTAAAATTGGGCATGATTCACTTAACCACTGCCTTGCTTAGCAAGAAAATTCTGGTTGCAATTGTGATCTTCTGTTGAGGACTACTTGCAGAAGATACAAAGTTACAGAAGGCAGGGATAAACAGCACTGAATCTAATGATTCCTCAACACCAGGGGTCTTCAAACCTGGCCCTTTTATGACTTGTGGACTTCAACTCCCAGAATTCCTCAGCCAGGCATGCTGGCTGAGGAATTCTGGGAATTGAAGTCCACAAGTCATAAAAGGGCCAAGTTTGAAGACCTCTGCTCAACACCAAGGTATTGAATGTGAATCCGTCTGATCATCACAGCAGCCTTTTGGACTCTCTAATATAGTGTTTTTCAAACTTGGTGACTTTAAGATGTGTGGTCTTCACGCATGCTGGCTGGAATTCTGGGTGTTGAAGTCCACATAATGTAAAGTCTCCAAGTTTGAAAAACAGTATATGTACATGTTGTATACAGCAATGTATATGTTGTCTTTTAATTCTGTGGTTAGAATTTCAACAGTTTACATCGGAAGTGGGGAACTATGGCTCCTTTATGACTTGTGGACTTCAATTCCTAGAATTCCTGAGCCAGCATGGCTGGCTAGGAATTCTAGGAGTTAAAAGTCCACAAGTCATACAGGGGCCATAATTCCCGCCCGCGGTTTATATGAACGCCCAGTTAGAAGATGCACTGAAGAAAAAGGCTGCTGGTCTTAAAGTCCTGGCAGTGACGGGGCGTTTAAAGAGAGGCGACGCAGCTCATAGACTGCGACGGCCTGGCGCTGAAGGAGGCGGGGCCCCAAACAATGTAGAAAGCGAAAACACCCGCCCTTCGAGTTCATGTAATGACAGAGCCTCGCTTGCATTTTCGCAACCACCCCAGACGGCTCCGCCGGCTTCCCTCTGCTTTTTTTCCCCCTCACCGGGTGAGGGCCGGCCTACTCGGCTCCAGACCTGCCCCACACTCACGGTCCCGCCCTTCTCGCGCGCTCTCTGCCCTTTGACGTGGCACGGGTCCCCCCCCCCCCAGCCATGATTGTTGCGTCGGCGGCGCTTAGCCTGCTGGGTTCCGTGTGCGCGAGGGCGAAGTGAGAGAGTCGGTTGGAGGCTCCCGGAGCTGAGGTGAGTCGCGGGAACGGAAGGCAGGCAGGCAGGCAGGAAGAATGAATAGAGTGGGCACCGAGGAGGCTCGGTCCTCGCCGTCTGGCCCGAGGAAGCTGAGGGGGTCCACCGTCGGGGAGAAACCCACAGTCCGATGTAGGGCGCGGGAAAGGAGGGGGACTTTGACTTCTTCCGAGCCCATCGACTCTCTTGGAGTTTACCGGGGATGCTGTCACGCTCCTTTGCCCAGTAACCTGAGATGTCGTCGTGGACTAAAGCTGGAGGGGTTCCCTTCCTTTAAGATCGTTTAGCCCAGTGTTGTAGAGGTTTCGTTTTCAGAATATCCTGCCCACCTTTAGCCCTTCTTCTCCCTTCCTCTTCTTTCAGTCACTTCCCCCGGGATAGTTTGAAAAGCCAAACTGGTTTCTGACATTCGAAGAGAGAGAGTTTCCCAACGTGGGAATGAAGGTATTGTGGATATGAACTGGGCAGATCAGTGAGTGGTGCTTCTCTATCGAAGTGGGTGTGTTTGAACGTTAGAGCATTGGGAGACATGGAACAGTCATGTGGAGTGGGACTCCCGGTTTTTTCTCTCTCTGACCATCCCATATTCTCTGGAAGTGTATCTAAAATCTGATGCCCCTAGTTGCATTGAGTTGTATCTCTGCAACTTAATTTGCGACATCATCCCTAGATGACATTGTGTATATTAAGCCTATTTCTAAATCAGAAAGGGGGAGAGAGAGAGAGATCAGTGTCTTTTTTAAAAGGAAGTAGCTGTCGGCAAAAGTGTTGTCAGTAAAAAAGGGAGTTGAATAATGTAAAGGGGGTTCTTAAAATCAAAACATTAAATGGGAAAGGAAGAAGAGAGGACTTAGAGTAGATTACGTTTTTTTGGGTGGGTGGGGAAAGAAGCTTAGTAGATTTTTGTAAACTTGAATACTTATTTTTTGTAAATTCAAGTGTATCTGCTGCTAGTGGCAAATACTGTCAGTTGTACAAGTTCTGAATCAGACAGTAGCAAATATATTATGGCTTGAGCTTTTGTGAATTAGAGCCAAGATGTTAGATGCATGAAGAGGAACTTTATAGAATCATAGGATTTGAAGGGACCTTGGAGATCTTATAGTCCAACCTTCCTCCAAGATTAGGATTCCTTGTACCATCTTGGACAAGTGATTATCCTATCCTTTCTTGAAAACTTCCAGCAATGGACCACCCACAAGTCTGGGAGGCAGGTTGTTTTGTTGATTACTGTTCTCACTGTCAGAAAATTCCTTCTTATTGCCAGGTTGCTTCTTGTCCTAACTTCAGGTGCTATGGAGAATAAGTCGATGTCTCTTCCCTTCGCCTTCAAGTATTATCATGTCTGTCTTCTCTTTGTTAAGCTAAACATACCTAGTTTTTTCAGCCATTCTAAAGAAACCATAGAAAGGATTTAGCTTCCAGATCTCTTATAATCTTTGTTGCTCTTTTCTGTACTCTTTCTAGGGCCTCAGTATCTTTTTTGTGTGTAGTGTCAGAACTGGACAAAGTATTCCAAATGTGGCCTTACCAGTGCCCTTGATCTTGATACTATGCTTCTGTTGATGCAGCCCAGCCTGGGACTGTGTTATCTGTTTTGACAACTGTAGCACATAGCTGACCCATACTTCAATGGTGGTCCACCAGGACATCTAGATCCTCCTTATAAGTACTACTGTTGAGCCAAGTACTGCCTATCCTGTATCGGTGCATCTGGTTTTTACTGCTTACGTGCAGGATATTACTTTTCTTGCCATTGAACTTCAACTTGTTGGATAGGCCCCAATGCTCAAATCTGTCAAGATTCAAAATCTGAATTATGACTCTATCTTCTGAACTGTTAGCAGTTCCCACCAGCTTTGTGGTGGGAAAAAATTTGATGTGCCCTTCAATCCCCTCATCTAGGTCATTTATGAAGATATTGAAGAGCAGTAGTCCCAAAATAAAACCTTGAGAAAGCCCATTGCATACTTCCCTCCATGTAGATGTAGTTCCATTAAGGACCACAAGCTGAGTGTGTTTGGTAGCAGTACTGTCTGTCTTACATTGTTCTATTTTACTGAGAAATAGGCTGTGGTCTACTTTACAAAATTCCTTACTGAAATCTAAGTATGCTATATCCACAGCATTTTTTTTGGTTCACTAATTTAGTCACTTTATCAAACAAGGCAGTAAAAATTGTTTGACATGTTCTGTTCTTAACAAACCAGCTGCTTGATTATGTTTTCCAGGATTTTCCCAGGTATTCATGCCAAGCTGATTGGTCTGTGGTTTCTTGACTACCCCCCTCCTCCCTTTTTAAAAAAGTTTGGAACCACACTAGCTTTTTCCAGTCTTGGTAGTTCAGTGCTTCAGGAGCTCTCAGAGATTTCATTCAATGGTTCCGAGATCACATTTGTCAGCTCCTTCAGTACCCTGTGATGTAACGTATCCAGTCCAGGAGACTTGAACTCATTCAGAGCAATTAGTTTCTAACCTTTTTTTTTTAAACATTTTTTAGCCAACATTTCTCTTTTGTCTCCCAGGGTGCTGTTTTTGATAGGTTGGACTATTTTTTTTCCTTTTGCAGAAAGACTGGTGCAAAAAAGGAATTGAGCAGTTCTGCCTTCTCTTTGCTGTCACCTTTTTGTTACCTTCTCCTATTAGTGAACCAACCATGTCCTTGACTTTCCTCTTGCTACTTACCTATTGAATTTTGTTCTTATTTTTAATATTTGTTGCAGGTCTTAGCTCATTCTGAGCCTTAGCTGTCCTGACCGTCATTGCAGATTTGGGCTATTTTCTGGTATTCTGCTCTAATTACAAGTCCCTCTGTCTTTTCTTTATACTTGTCCTTTTTGTCCCTCAGCTGGTTTGTGCATGTTTGTGCAAACATGCTGGTCTTGTCAAGTGTTTCTTGTTTTACTTGCTATATGATATTGTTTTTGTTTGGGCCTTTATTATCTCAGTTTTCAGAATTTCCTATGCACCCTGAACTGTTTTTCCAGCTAGAATTTCCATCCATGGAATGCTTCTTATTCTTTTTCTTAGTTTGTTGAAATCATCTCTCTTAAAATCTAGAACACTAGTCCTTTAGTTACCCTGAATCCTCAAATGACATGGTTACTCTCTTCCAAAATTCCTACAGTTTCCAATTCCTTGACCACTTCATCTCTATTAGTAATTATCCAATATAGCTGATCCTTTAGTACCCCCTCCCTCTTTTGGGTCATAAAGTTGTCAGCTCTGCATGTTAGGAATCTGTCAGTGTAGTTAAAGTCCCCCTTTACTACAGTGGTGTTTCTTGGAAACCTCAACTAACTGATTTATGGAGAAATTAATCTATTTCCCTACTTGGCTGTGTGGCTTATAATTCTATACAATGTCATTTCTTTTTCCTTTGTATTTTCATGTGCCTTAAACTTACATTTTTAAAGAATGAAAAATAGGCAAGATGCAAGGTTATGGAATATCTGTGATATATTTTTTTGATAAAACACAGTAACAATCAGATTTTAAAATATGACAAATTAAGATCTTATGTATTTAATTAAATTTTAGGGATTGAAAGACATTAATAGTAACTATGTGTAACATATTCCATGGGGATTTTCAGAAAAAAACAAGTTATACCCCAAGGTACTATTTGTAGTCATCTGTTTTCCAGCTTCACTAGGCATATTGAAATAGAATTAAATATTGTTTTTAAAAGGATAGCTGAATATATGCAGGAGGTTGTTTCCTGGACTTTGGATTGTTTGTTTAATTGACTATAGTAATAAATAGACATACAGCTGATAAACCTGTTTAGAAAGAAGTAAGTCCATGAAAGAGAACAGGTTGATGTAGTGGTTTATTTTTTATTTATTAAATTTCTATGCCATCCATCTCCCCTACAAGGTGACTCTGGCTGACTTAAAAATTATAGAAACAAGTGAAAAAAATTAAAAGATTGAAGTGAACCAACATTAAAATATTAGTAAAAACTGTGCTAAAACCGCACCTACAAGAGCCAAGAGATGACGATGAGATCTTCTTATCCCTTTAGCCACCTCCAGCGGTGAGCGTCCTCTTCTGGGCCCAACTAGTAAAGCCAGGTTTTGATACCCTTCCGGAAGGCCAAAAAGGAGGGGGCAGTTCTCACCTCCAATGGAAGAATGTTGGGGCCACAGCAGAAAAAGGCTCTTCTTGATCCGCCTGCAGACATGATCCTTGATTCCTTAGCAAATGAAATCCATACTAGGCCTCTGCCACTGGCACTAGTGGGGTAGGGTTGTCCCATTGGGGAGAGACAGCTTGTCAGATACCTTAGACCCATGCCATGTAGGGCTTTAAAGGTAACGATCCACAGCTTGAATTGGATCCAGAAGCAAACTGGCAACCAATGCACCTTGCATAGCAACGGTATTATATGTGCAGCCCTAGGAGCTACCAGGAATGTGCAGGCTGCTGCATTCTGCACCAGGTACAGCTTCTGAATACTGTTCAAAGGTAACGCCATGCAGAGCGCATTACAGTAATCCAGCTGACACATGATTATGGTATGAGTAACCATGGCATCCTAATGAGAAGGAAGGACTCACTGGAGAAGAGCCTAATGCTGGGAAAGATTGAGGGCAATAGAAGAAAGGGACGACAAAGAATGAGGTGGCTGGATGGAGTCACTGAAACAGTAGGCGTGAGCTTAAATGGACTCCAGAAGATGGTAGAGGACAGGAAGGCCTGGAGGAACGTTGTCCATGGGGTCGCGATGGGTTGGACACAATTTCACAACTAACAACAACAACCATGGCATGATCCAGGAAAGGCCACAAGTGGTACAAAATGCAAAGTGGCACAAAGGCCCTACTAGCCACTTTTTGAGCAGGAATTGTGAATCCTGGAGGACTCCCAAGTTGTGCACTGAATCTGTCTGGGGTAGTGTAATCCCATGCAGAATTAATGAGTTAATGATGATAAATCACCAGATCCAGAAATCCCTTGCACAAATTTGAAATTTATGGCAATGTACTGCGGTACAGTGGCACCATTTTCTGCTTAAAAGGAAAAAATAGCCGTGTTAACTTCTGATAGCTGTAGTACAAGTATTTTGCTGAAAAAAATCCAAGAAACTGAAACAACCATATCACAACTGCAGGCATCGGTACATGATTCATTTTCCCTTTACTAATTCCTCAAAGAGCAATGAGGATGCAAAATGGTTACCTACCTGCTTCTAGGGAATTTTAGATACAACCAACTATCATGAAGCTTAGTAACTCTTAAATATGACCAGCATTTTATTCTGCCTTTTTCCGATTTGTACTTCAAATGCCTATTTGAATAAGAAATTCTTATTTATTTTATCTTAATATAATACATAATACTGTTGTAGTTAGATAGTTACTTTTATTTAATTCATTCTGTCCAATAGAAGAGGTGGGCTCTGGTTTCTGCTTCTATTGCATACTGCTTGCACTAAATAGTTTCCAAGTTTTGTGTAGTATAACAGTTGATCTTGATTAGCACCTAAGAATGTATGATGTACAGTGGATAGTAAACTACACTGAATTTGTTAATTTAAACGCAGTTCTTTTAGGCTATTTTCAAATGGATGCAAGTGATAACCATGATAATTTGTCAAAATAAGATTTTTCAAATTGAAGCTACTTTGGAGGGCAGTGATGGCGAACATTTTAGAGACTGAGTGCCCAAACTGCGATCCAAAACCCACTTATTTATCACAAAGTCCCAGGGCTGCATCAGCATTGTGGTGCCCTCGGGGGGGGCAGTGGGTGGGCATGGCTGCAGTGGTCACAGCAGACTGGATGAGCGGGCCAGGGCCATCTAATGCGGCTTGCTCACTCACTTCCTGCCCTGTCACTTCCAAACACCACGTGTTCGCTACTCTGACAAACTGCTGGGGCAACGGCACGCGTGCCCACAGAGAGGGCTCTGAGTGCCGCCTCTGGCACGTGTGCCATAGGTTCGTCATCCCTGTTGTAGGGTAACAGCTTTCAGAATTGCTGTAATGTTTAGGAGTGAAACCGTTGCTTAAGGTACGTGTGCTTGTGCATTTGGAAATTTCCAAATTTGCATTTCACTAAGGAGTGAAACAGTTACTAAACAGAACAGAGACTCTTAATTGTTATTCATTTTCTTTCTATAGTTTTATGAACAGACAAGAATTTTCATATTTTCCAGATAACTAATAGTGAAAATACATGAATTCCCTAAAACAGTGGTCCCCATCCTTTGGCTCGGCTGGAGGGGGAGAGGGGAACTGGGCCGCGGGAGTGGTGGGCTGGCGCATACGCAACCCTTATGCTAATGGTGGGCCAGCACACACGTGCACGCAGCCCATGCTTGAACAGCAGGCCCACATGCAGGTGCCCGCCGGCCCGCCACTCAGACAAGGTGAGCTGCACATGCATGCGCTCCGGCCAGCACGTCACATGATCCAATTCCGAAGAGGTCACAGGCCAGTAGTAGGCCGCGACCAGGGGGTTGGGGACCCCTGCCCTTAAATTATTGTATTGCTTTTAATTTATCCTCAAGAACTTGCATGGTTAAATTCAATATATATTTTTGCAACAGATACGAGAGCTTCATAATGACAACCTTCTTGGAGTTCATTCAACAAAATGAAGATAGAGATGGTGTTAGATTCAGCTGGAATGTGTGGCCTTCCAGTCGTCTTGAAGCCACAAGAATGGTGGTTCCAGTTGCTTCTCTTTTCACTCCACTAAAAGAGCGTCCTGATTTGCCTCCCATTCAGTACGAGCCAGTTCTCTGCAGTCGCACTACCTGCCGTGCTGTTCTAAATCCGTTATGGTAATTTCAATAAATATTGCTGACATGTTATTAGTCTTGTGATTAAAAGATTGCATTGTCCCAATTTTACCAATTATGTACAGTCGCTCTTTGTATAGCATTATAGCTGTTTCCTAGAAATTCAGGTGCTATGCACTTTTATGCAATATGAATAACAGAGCTTATAGAAAAAAGTGGGGTTGGGCAGATCATTCAAGAATGACAACACATTCACAACCCAAATATTACCAAACACAACAAATAATCCTATTAAAGTACTTACATAGTTGAAAAATATATTAAATTCATAAGTAATGCAAATTTAGACTCATCTTGACAAAAAGTGAAAATGGCTTGAGGGATAAAATAAGAAATTGAGGCTGCAGACAATGGAAGTAAAGGATGATGACAACGATGACGATTAGCAGAAGGACAGATGCAGGATTTAGATGAATATGGTCACATCACATGCTTCTTTTGTAAATAGCTGTTTATATGGCTTCAAATAAGATTAAATTCCATGGACTATCTGCTCCTTTCTGCACTGTGATTGTTGTGTTCTAACCATTGCAAATTCTTCCCATATGCCATTAGAACTGAAGAAATCTCTGAAGCAGAATGCTTTTTTTGTTGGCTTGATGGACAATGACTTCTACTTGACTCTCATAAATTGTTGCGGATCTTTGGTTGAAAATTATTTTGCATGGGATTGAAACAGCTTCTCTAAGTCCTCTTCCTCCACTTTGTCGAACTTAGCCTGCTTAGTGAGAACAGTACAATGTGCTCTTATTTGGAAAACTGTTTTATGTGGTCAATGCCTTTCAAATCATAAAATCAGAAGGGCCATCAAGAACTATGACAGTAGTCTGTTTTAACCTCATTTTGAGCTTACAGTAGTACAAATTGCATTCTTTATGTTGAATTGCTGCAAAAAATTAGGAACTGTGCATTTTTATCTTCAGTAGTTGTGCTTGCCATCTTATATAACAATGTATAAAGTCAACAATAACTCTGAAGGTCTTGATGCTCTCCTTGGTAGTTCCTTGATTGGAGTATTGTTTTCTGCTTGACCTCATCCCCACCAACACTGGCAGGGCAAACTACAGTATATGCACAGGTGGCAGCCTCTCCCTTCACTAGCACCGATTATGTTACCTAGTTGGGTAATGAAATATACTGCAAGAAACTACCAAACTCAGAGACTACCAAGGACTCCACAGTTCAGCCCTAAGCAATATATTCTCTTCTCTTGGCAGCAGTAATTCTCTGATTGAGAGGCCGGAAGAGAATTGTTGTATTAGGAAACAAAAAAAAAAATTGTAATGGCCAAAGGATGATTTGGTATACAGGTAGTCCTTGACTTACAATTATTTGTTTAGTGACTGTTTGAAGTTACAAAGGCATTGAAGAAAGTGACATGACCATTTTTCACACTTAGGACCATTGCAGCATCCCCTATGGTCATGTTATCAAAATTCAGACACTTGGCAACTGGTTTGCATTTATGATGGTTGTATAGTCCTGGGGATCCTATGATCACTTTCTATGACCTTCTGACAAGCAAGGTCAATGGGGAAGCCAGATTTATTTTACAACTGTGTTACTAACTTAACAATTGCAGCAATTCACTTAACAACTGTGGAAGAAAAGTTGTAAAATGGAAAAAAAATCACTTAACTGTCTTGCTTAGTAGCAGAAAGTTTGGGCTCAATTGTGATCATAAGTCGAGGACTACTTGTATTGTCCAAAACAACTAGATTCATAAAATCCACATTTTTGTTCTTACAAACACTTCAGTTTGTTTTCTTCAACTTAAGATATCCTCAGATGTATTGAGTAGAACATAAATTAAAGTCTGCTCTATCATTTCTCCCCCCCCCCCTTGCTGTGTCTGATATGGACCCCAACAGTAGATCCATTTTAAGGCTTGGTAATTGGCTGCATGATAAAAAGTAACAGGCTTCAGTTTTCAGGTTGCTGCTTTAATCGTTATAGTCAATTTATCCTTAACAACTTTGCATCCTGGAGCTCATGCTTCCTTCCCTGATGTGATGGCTTGTTTTCCAATGAAAACCAATTACATCAAAGCTAAATACCTGAATAATGTAATCTTTGTAGTCAATTGTTATTTTTTTATTATTGCACAAAATAGCTTCAGCAAAAAACTTCCCATTATTTTCTCAGCATTTCTTCTGATTGTCTGTAATATTGCTAATAGCACACACAATGTCACATATTTCATTTATTTCAAAAAAGTTTGAAAATTTCAAAGTTTTTCTGTGATGCTAAAGCTTTTCTGTTTCTTTCTCTGCCTGAAATTTTATCACCAGTATGTTTCTTTGGTATATTTTTTTAACTAGTGTACTTATTTGAAGGGGGGAGAAGTATAGTTGAGCTGTAGTAATAATACCCCAAAACTGAGGAGAGAGCTGCAACAGACAGTAACAAAATACCATACATGTGGTAACTGATTTGAGTAGACAGTGAATAAAGCAACAAACTATTGTTTTTAACTGGTTATAGCTTGCTATGTTCATTTGACATTTCTGATTAGTGCCATATTGAAGTTCAGGAAAATTATGTATAAATCATGCTATGCTAACACCATTATCTTATCAATTGTGTATGAGTGAATTAGTATTGCATATATACTGTATATGCTACAGTATATGAGAACCACTCTACAGTGAACTTAGCCAGCTCAGCAAATACTGATTAGAGAGGAGCTAAAATAGAACATCCAAAGAGTTAAACTTATTAATAAGTTTGGTTAAATAAAATCTAGAGATGAAAGTATATAATGAATATAGAAAGTAATCTATATTCAGATTTGAGCCTGAAACTGCTTTATCTCATTTGTATTCATAATTTATTGAAACATTTAATATTATGTTTGTAGCCAGGTTGATTATCGAGCAAAACTATGGGCTTGCAATTTTTGTTATCAGAGAAATCAGGTAAGTCAACATTTATATTTGTCCCAGCTATTCTAACGTGGATTTTTTTTTTTGCTTTATTAAACATACAGATACTATAGTGATAGCACGGTGCAAATAAAAAGATGCAAAAATCATTTTGATATGTAGAAATGAATCAGTGTTAAATCTGAAATAGTAGTTAACAAAGCAAACATTGAATAAGTAAAGAAAAAGGAATTGTAAATCCTGGAAAAGACGTGTCATTTTCTTCTTTGTTGAAAAAGGATTACATTTTTTGAGAAGCAACATTGTATTAGTAATTTTTTACATGTCAAATGTAGATTAATCGTTCTGATGATGTCTATGGGTAATCTTCACTTAATGACTAGAACAGTGTTTCTCAACCTTGACAATTTTAAGGCATGTGGACTTCAACTCCCAGAATTCCACAGCCAGCATTGCTGGCTGTGGAATTCTGGGAGTTGAAGTCCACATGCCTTAAAATTGTCAAGGTTGAGAAACACTGGACTAGAATTTCCATCATTAAGCAAAACGGTAAATAGGCAAAGCACCATGTGACCACTCTTTAGTGATGGCAGTTCCTATAGTCCCAACTGTGGTTGTTAGGCCAGGACCATGCCAACATTTGGTAAGGATCTCCTGCCTACCATGCTCGCTTCCACTTCAACTCTCTCCATCTATTCATATCTCCATCACTGTTGTTTTGGCCACCCTGCATTTTGCTGGTCTTATTCCTACTCTCCAGCTGATCTTCGTTATCTTGTTTCCTCTGCTGCTGGCTTGGGATCCAGGCGTTGGGCAAGGGTAAAGCCCTGCAGTGGAGCCTTGCCTGCTAAAGGGAGCTTGCTGGGCTTGTCTGATGGACCGGCAAGCCACGGTGTGCTCCATTACCAGGCGAGACAGGAAAAACTACAGTGAAGGTGGGGGCAATAAGGGAGGTGCTATTCAAGGTGACAGCAGAATTGGGGGAAGCTGAAGGCTAGGGACTTCCTGGAGGTGAAGTGTGTGGAAGCACTCCTGGAGAACCAGCCTGCCAGGTTTCAGCAAGGAGTGGAGGCAAGCCTGCTGTGAACAGAACTTAGGCACTGTCCCTCTGTTCTCTGTGGCTCAGCCTTCCTTCTGCAAAGCCTTGCAAAGGACTAGCAGCTTCCAATGCACTGAAGCTCACAGACCTGTTCTCCCATGGCACTTCTGACATGTGTTCTGTAGCTCTTGTCCATCCACTTCCTCCAATTATGCTGTCACCCTGAGCAGCATCTCCTGCACAGTCTCCACCTTTATCCGGGAGTCACTGCCTTTTCTGCATAGCCTAGCAATGGAGATGTCCTCCCTTTGCCATCCTGCTGCCTCTTCCCTTACAGGGCCTGGCATCCTCCCTTCAGCTGACAAAGCTTGCCATCCTGCTGTACTTTCTGTGTTCATCCCAGGGCTGCATCCTGGGCCTATAGGAGGAGGAAGAAGGCTGTGAAGATTGGCTAGGGGCAATGGCAGTGGCGGGTGAGGGGAGGTAGCAGGAGTATGTGGCAGAGTGCAGGTGATGAAAAGGATAGAATCCAAATATTGATCATGTGACTGGGCGGGTCTTGCATTGGCCAGAACTCCAAGGACGACTGGTTAACTACCAGTTATTCAACGACACTGTAACTTTGAATGGTCACTGAATAAACCAAATAACACAAATAGCAATTTGTTGTTGTCGTCAGCCATTCAGCTGTGTCCAATCCTCAGCCACTCTAATTAATATCAAATTAAGTCCAAAAATAAATTGACAACTGGCATTCCTTATTTTGATGTGCACCCCAGGCTAAAATGATAAATGGTTATGTCTGAAAGATTTCAGGTAGAGTGATATGGTATTGATACTAAGATGCACAGATAGAAATAAAGATAGTAATAAAATTCAGTGTGATGTGTTAGGTTTATATAAACATTTCTGTCATTTTTCTTTCAGTTTCCTCCTACATATGCTGGCATATCTGAGATGAACCAGCCTGCAGAACTTCTACCGCAATTTTCTAGTATTGAATATGTTGTACAGGTAAATATATGACTAAAAATTTAGAGATGAATGTTGAGCTAGTGAACGATAGTAGAGGGGGAAGATGTGATGAACAGTATGGCAGCATATTATAACAATATGCATTATCACTTGTTAATATAGTGGAATAAATCAGAATTATGCTCTTCATTGTTTGGCATAATTTGATGTGATTTGTAAGAATAGCATAGATATTTCTCATGCTCAGCATTATAGATGTTACCTATCACATTTGTTTTTAACTCATGGAACAATATAATAACACAAATCTGAATTGCACAGAAATATGCTCAAATTCTACATTTGCAAAACTCAACACATAACACTTTGTGAATATTTCTTTATTGTTAAAAAAACCCCTAACTGTGAAATTAGCATAATAGGAAAGCAAAAAATCAATAAGAGTATTACAAATATTATAAAACTGAAAAACATTTTCAAAGTAATCTTAGTCTATATATTAAGATATGTCAATTTAACAATTCATATATCATAAAAATAAAGATAATATGCAAGAATTAATAGCAATAAACAATATAGTATATTTTTAAAACCAAGATGAGCAAATAATAATTTCTCTCTACTCTAAAAATTCTATGCTTGTTTAGCAAGTCATTGAGAAACTCAGCTACTAAAAGTTTAATGTTAGAAGAAATCTTAACACTCATAATTATGGGAAATTATAATCTGGTAATGCTTTCCATGTTGAACTAGATAGTTCACTGGATAGTTTTTCATCCAATTTGTTTTTGTTTTAACATTGATGCATACTCCCAATCTAAACTTAATTTGCCATTTGGATTATACATAATTTCCAGTGGGAAACATAGATTATTCTAAAATTGTAATCAGTTTGATATATTTTGTGAGAATCTGTGATGTTAATGTAAAAATAGTAGGTGGGAAAGAGAACTCTTCAGAATTTGTTTTATTTGGTTACAAATTATTTTCTAGAATTATTGGGCTTTGTAGTATTCTTACCAAATAGGAGAAAATGATGTGACTTGAATATTACATTTATAACAATTTTTAGAGAATGAATTATATACTATATTATTTGTAGTGCAATATCAAACATTTAAATGTTTTGATCAGTAAAAAAGATAACAAACACTCCAAAATTGGTTTTGGCATTATTAGTCTAATAACACTATTGACTTTGATTTGTATTACATGCTAATTTGTCATGGTTTTTTTGTGAATTGATAATATTATTACAATGTTTTTCATTTTACTTAAAGCGTGGACCTCAGATGCCTTTGATATTTCTTTATGTTGTTGACACTTGTATGGAAGATGAAGATTTGCAAGCTTTGAAAGAATCCATGCAAATGTCATTAAGTCTCCTACCTCCTACTGCTTTGGTAGGGCTTATTACTTTTGGGAGAATGGTACAAGTTCACGAGCTTGGCTGTGAAGGAATTTCCAAAAGTTATGTGTTCAGAGGGACAAAGGATCTATCTGCAAAACAACTTCAGGTAGATATCTGTTATTTAATTTGATTACTTTATGATTGTTGTGTCTTGGAAAATAGAAGAAGAAAATGTCTACTGAACAAAGTATTATAGTTTAGGAGTTAAAATGCATTTTCTGATTTTAACTACATTTGATTTTAAAAATGTTGAAATGACATTCTTAAATCTCGGGGGAGATATTATAAAGGTTGAATTACCTGTTCAGTACTGTCAATGTACCATACTCAACTTCAAAGCTGCCATTAGTATTCATAATCTTCCACTTTAAGATTATTAAAAATAGTAGAAAGGTGTAATACAGATTTTATACACACAAACCTGCAGTCTAATACTGAAGTAGGAAGATGTATTAGCTAGACTCATAGTTCCATCTAGTCAGGCTTTCCTCCTCCCAGGAATCCTTTTCCTTTTTCTTCTTGAGACTTGAAAGCTCAGTAATGAGTGATTTGTATAAGCAGATGGGAAGAGAAGCCTTGGACAGGTATGTCAGAAACTCATGCTCAAACTTGATTCTTAATTATAAGGGGAACTAAAAGGATTCAGAAAAGGAAGCCAGATAAGTGCTTGAAAATGAAAACAAAAAGCTAATCTTACTAATCTATAATAAACTTCAAGGTAGCGTAGCAATGAACAGCTTAGACAGAAAGCTAGGTATCATCCTTAAACAAGCCTAGACTATATATCAGTTGGGAGCTAGGAAAATATACTTTTTTTAATTCAAGGGAATGGTATAATAGAGCTGTTGATCTAAAAGAGGGTTTTGACCCACTTTGGCAGATTTGATATACAAGTTGGATTATGGATGGCAGCTCTCTTGGTCAATAATGCTTGGTTTTTTGTTTTTGTTTTGTTTTTTAAAAGCATTGTTGATATAATGAATAGAAGGAATAATCTTGAGGACCAAGAAGAATTGCAACAAGACAATGGTCAGATAAAAGTAATCTGAATCTGGGACAGAATGTAATTTCAGAAAGCATCTCAGATATGATCCTCCCTAATTCACATGAAGAAAAAAAAAGAGGGAGGGGAAAAGCACATTCAGACTTGCAAGATTTTGTTGCCATAACCCTGTACTAAAACCCTAGTACTGTATTGGTTTGCATGTCTTTGATTCCCAAGTTGGTCTATCTTGGAGACCTTCATGAGAACTAGGGAAGATCATCTCTCAAATTACCATATATGCCGGCGTATAAGACGACTTCCGGAAGTGCTAAACTCAGCGCCAAAGATGGGGGTCGTCTTATATGCCGAGTCATCTTATATGCCGGAAATACTGGTAGTTTCTGGCGTATAAGACGACGTTCTAGGAATGCGGCTCGGCGACAAAGATGGGGGTCGTCTTATATGCCGAGTCGCCTAATACGCCGGCATATACGGTATATTTTTGCCCCAAACTCAGATTTCTTTTATCTGATCCTTGTCTTGATTACAGCTCTTCCTCTCCTCAAGGTTATTCTTTCTGCTGATTTCATATGGATAGTTATTATTTTGAGTGATTTGCCAAATATATAACTGTTCTGTTATGCACTGTTCATAGGAAATGCTAGGACTTACAAAAATCAATGTATCACAAGTTGGTCGTGGTCCTCAGGTACAACAGCCACCACCATCTAACAGGTATCAATTTTTATTTTAAAAAAGTGCACTCTAAATTGCTTTACACTAACTTCTGCTTTGTTATGTATCTCCATAATTTATTTTATCAGTGCTGAACCCTTATGAACCAGCATCAATCAATTTATTCATTTATTTTGGCTAAGAACCAAAAAGATCAGAGTGGTCTACTAATAAAACATTATATTATTTTGGTTTGGTCTATGTTGGTCTCTTCAATAATTTGGGTTATATCCATTGTTATCATGGTGACTATGAATTCCTGAATGGGCCCAGTTTCCATCCCATCTAGGAGCAGATTGAGTCTCCAACAACTATAAACCTTGGAGACTTTGCTGCCAATCTGCTGAAAGAATTTAGCAACCCAGATAGAAATTTTGCTGTGGAGCAGGGAGACTGGTATAGCAATTATTCCCTAGAGCCCAGCTTCAACCAGAGTGTTTCACACCTGTTTATCTGTGGAAAAGGGTTGCTGAAAGTGTTTGAAGTCTCATGGATGACCAACTGCCATTTTAACCCACGGCACCCCACCTGGGCTTTTGGCTGGTGCCAAACCTGACACCTAGGTGGTAATATCATTGAGAGGGGAATCCCTCCCTTCCAAACCATCCAGGTCTTGGTTATACATGCTAGGTCAGCTGCTTCATCCACAATCTTATGGTGGATGTGCATGATCTTACTGCATGCCAACTTGATGTTGAGTTACAGCAGACAGAGCTGAAGACCTCAATGACCCCATGATGTGGACTCAAGGATGACTACTAATACATGGAAGGCAAGACACATCTTAATCACAGACTTCATCATTCTTGCAAGCAGCCCATCCTTAGCTTCTCTCCATATTTTCCTCTTTTAAAGTATATAGTAATATAGAACAACTTTTTAAAAGAACATGCTGGTAAGATTTTAAGTGTGTTTGAGTAGACATTGCATATGCTGTTTCTGTAGATTGAACAGCTTTCAGCAGGTGTCTTCTTCCAAATGATCAGCATGTTAAATAAAAACAAAATAAATACAGATTGAGAATTTTATCCAGTCATGAGTTATAATTTTGTTCATTTGTATAATAGATTACAGTTTTACAAGCTTGATAACTGCAGAATGAATGTTAAATCATGTTTGAGAAATTGAAATTATAGAACAGTATATTAGTATATTCATATTTTCCAAAATGAAATCCAAAATATTTTTTTTGTTAGAACTGCTCTCATTGGCATTATTCTCTCATTGGCATTATTCTTTTCTTTTCCTTTGACTTGTTGCTCATTGTCAAAACATTCTTTAGAACAAATTTTGGGTGGGAGACAGATGTAGTTAAATGGGAAGAGCTCATAGGATGGGTTTTTTCTTGTGTGAGGCTGGATTTCCCCTCCCAGTTGAAAAAATAAAATTTTAAATGGTTTCCCTGAGAGCAAAACTGTTTTTATTCTTTCTAGATTCTTACAACCAGTACAGAAAATAGACATGAATCTCACAGATCTCTTGGGTGAACTGCAACGAGATCCTTGGCCTGTTCCACAGGGGAAAAGACCTTTGCGATCTTCTGGAGTGGCTCTTTCCATAGCTGTAGGACTGCTAGAGGTAACAAGTTATCTCTGATATAGGAGAATAATTAAGTTAATGTGGGTTTGATTTAAATTAGAAAGATAACTATTTTTTAAAGATGGTAAATAATTTTCTGAAACACTTTATCACAGGTATTAAATTTACTAAAATTTGAGCAATAATTATTTTTTCAACTCTAGATATCTAATTTGGACAGTGAGAGGGACAGCAAATTTAATACATAATTAAATAAATAATTGATACTGCAGTTTCTTTTAGAACATGAATAAACAGTTCTAAATATCAATGGAATGGCTTCAGGAAGCTCATTTGTTTCTTGACTTGTATTTATTATCCTGTAGTGTACTTTCCCTAATACTGGTGCTCACATAATGATGTTTATTGGTGGACCGGCTACCCAGGGGCCTGGGATGGTTGTGGGAGATGAACTTAAGCTCCCTATAAGATCTTGGCATGACATTGAAAAAGATAATGCCAAATATGTTAAAAAAGGTACTAAGGTAAGAGACTCTATAAATGTTACTTTCCATTAATGTTATCTAAGAAGTGTGTTTGATACATTCCAAAATGACTTGGTCTTTAGATTATACATATTTTCCAGAATTAAAAAAGTCTTTAAATGTTTACAGTCTTTCTAAAAATATTCTTGAGAAACATTCTAATAGTTATAGGGTTCAGATGGTTTACTAAAAAAATACCGATGGACAGTATATCAATTTAAATTAAAATATGTTTCAAGAGCTGTGTTTGTATAAACATGCTTAATAGATACAATTTTGAATATTTTGTTGACATTTTTGTTTATCTTACATAATCGGGGAAAGAAATACAATAAGTCAATACTATAAAAATATACTGAGAAGGATTAAAAGGGTGTACAGCATTTAATCTTCATCTTTTTGTCATAGAGTTGAATACCTTGTGTTAACATATGGCTATAGAAACTCAAGTAATTGGAATAAATTATATTTTTGTATAGCATTTTGAAGCTCTTGCAAATCGTGCTGCTACAACAGGTCATGTTATTGACATCTATGCTTGTGCATTGGATCAGACGGGTCTTTTGGAGATGAAATGTTGTGCTAACTACACAGGGTAGGTAATATATGAAAGTATATATGTAGGAATAATATAATTTACTGAAGAAATATTATTTCAATAAACTGTTAAAGAAAATCATTCACATGCCAACTGGACTTGCATCTATGAGCATATGTAGTTAGCATACAAGCCAAAACTTTTGATGCTTCTGAATAGATTCATAAATATGTTTTTTTTTCATATATCGTAAAATATGTGTATCATTTAATTCTAGAGCCCTATTAGGTTAAAATGCCTGTGCTCACATTGCTAAATAGGACCCATGGATAACGCTTGACTTACGACCAAAATTGGGACCGTCCACCCATCTCTTCCTCTCAGTCAGTGCTTTGGGCGAGCATTTAATTTTGATCACATGACCGCAGGGGTGCTGCGACAACTGTCCATTTGTTTAGCGCCTTCATAGCTTTGAATGGTCACTGAATGAATGGTTGTAAGTTCAGTGCTCTCGGCAGCTGTTCTTCAAATGAATCCTGCTTGGTGAATTTTATTTCTTCACTAGACAACCCCTTGGGCCAATCTTTTGAGCACCAGGGACCGGTTCCGTGGAGAGATTTTTTTCTGCAGACTGGAGGGGGCATGGTTTCATGTACTGCCTGCATCCCGCGGATGGGGCTTTGCTTGTTTGTGCGGCCCAGTTTCAGGCATGCCGCGGCCCAGTGCCGGTCCACGGACCAGGGGTTGGGGACCCCTGCCTTGGGCCATTGCTTCAGAGATGCTTCCTTATCAGATTCCTCAGTGCCTTTAACAACAGTAGAGCTTCTAATATTTTTTAAAAATTCTTAAAAGTTCAGGGAGGTACAGTATTCAGAGATGTATTTGCCTTGAAAGTCCATGTTGAACTGTACAGCAACATCAGGAGTTCACCATAGGAAATGTTTTATGACATTTTGTAGTATGTCATAATGCTTTATGATAATTCTATATTATGAACAGTTTTAATTTTTTTTTTTGTCAAATTTCAATTTCATGGAAGTCATGGGTCATAGATTTTGAATGCATTTTGTAATGTAGCTATTCTGTAACTTGAGACACCTTGCTCAAAATTAGTTACCCTATGATGCACTGTTTCACCCATTTAAAGGTTATGGGAATCAGAGTTTTTATAGTATATAGATTACGTATGTTCTTGAATAAATTGTATATTAAAAATCAGTTTACATAAAGTAAAGTGACAGATGCCACATCATTTGTTTATGTCTGATGACCACTTTTAAACATTACATTCACAAATATGAAAAAATTGTAAAGAAATATAAAAGGGTAGAGGTTTTTCCAGATGCAGATATGTGCAGTTGTGGTAGGAGACCAGGTTTTGAAAGCAATAAATGACAATGTAACTGTTCTTTAGGACTATCCATCTCTGTGTCTTACTTTTTTTTTGTCTTCATTTAGCGGTTACATGGTAATGGGAGACTCTTTCAATACATCTTTGTTCAAACAAACATTTCAGCGGGTGTTCACAAAAGATGCACAAGGGCAATTCAAAATGGGATTCGGAGGTACCTTAGAAATCAAGGTAAGGAATGACATTTACTATAAAAAAAGAAGGTTCTGGTGTTCTTATCTTGTAAAATCTTACTGTGCACTCAGAGCTAAACAGACTTTTGTGGAAAGGGAGTATTCTAGCAGTAACATTCAGCTTCAATTTTTAATCCTTGGATTGAAGTACTTTATTTCACTGTGAAAATAAACTGTTTAAATTGAACAGCTTCTTTTCAGAATGAAGTAAAACACTGACTGATGTCCTTGGGTTAAAGACGCAAAGTAAATGTCCTTGGCTTAAAGATGCAAAGTAAACTTTTAACTGTGCAGGTGTAATACTGCATTCATTGTTTGGCTAAACTCTATTAATTTTATTTCTTACTAGCCCACAAAATAAATTGCTAAATATATTTTATGTTCCTGTGCAGTTACAGCAAACTCTCTAGTGCATGGGAATATAATCATACATAGGATATTTAGATTACATTCACATGATGTACTGAATATTTAATAGAAACGTTTCTCGCTGTGAGCATTTTTTCCCCGTCTGCCATTTCAACAGTTGAGCAGCAGCATATGAAATCAAAGTACTATTATATGGTTACCCATATTTTGCTGGAGTAATGAAATGCTGCTTGAGAAATAAAATAATATTGAAAAGAGGCAATAGATTTAGTAGTAAATGCAGATTTTTCATACCGAGGGCTAAGTCTAAGTTCTGGATTCCCAGTTTAAAAATATCTCATCCTGGTGAGCCAGTACCACTGAGAATTCTATAACAACTGGCCTCTATGCATCAGTAGTTATGATTTGATATAATGCTGAATTTGTAAATTAGAAGGCTTCAAAGGACAATAGAAATACTCTAATTCAGATTCCTCCTCCTAGAGATCATCCAACCTCTGTAACCTATCACTCCTCTAAAGGAAAATAAATATTTTAAATTTAAAGAAAACTGAGTCATTTGATATAATATGAGAAAGTTGTGCATAAACACCCAAAAAACTTTAATGCAAAATATATAGTTTTGAGAAAGAAACATGACCATTTGTTTAGCAAAATCATAGATGCTATTTTTCAGAGATTGACTGGTTCTGTTCCAAATTTATTCTAGATAGAACAGTTACTTAGTTTCACTTTTACAGGGTATGGTAAAATTACTAAAGTGAATTTTAATCCACTTTTTTATATTATTCTCTTTTACTTTGAAATCTATATAGACTTCAAGAGAAATAAAGGTATCTGGAGCAATTGGACCCTGTATATCTCTCAATTCAAAGAGCCCTTGTGTATCAGAAAATGTAAGTTATCTAAAATGAAAATCAGGTATCATAAATCCACACCGTTGCTCTTTTTAACATACGAAATACAATAGAAATTTTATACTTTGTTAAATATCCTAAATAATTATTTTGTTACTTAGATACATGATTGATTATATGCCATCAAGTCAGTGTCAGTTTTTAGTGACCACATAGATTTTCTCCTGAAGGAACTCTTCCCAATCTGGTCCTTCATCTCTTCCAATGATGCAGTCACTGCCATAGTAACTGAGTCCACCTTACTACTGGTCCTCTTTTCTTTACACTTTTCCCAGCATTAAAGATTTCTCCAAGGGTATCTTGGTCTTCACATAATGTGTCTGAATTAAGATAATTTGAACTGGCATTTGTATCTCGAGCAAGAATGCTGTGTTTATTTTGTTTGATGGTTCATTTTTTTTCATTTTCTTGGCTATTCATAGTATTCTAAGAAGTCGTCTCCAACATCAAAGTTTCAAAATATCAATACTCTTTCTATGCTGCTTCTTCAAAGTCCAGTTTTCGCTTCTATAGTGTTATAGAACATGACATCTCAATATCTTTTCTTTCATTGCTACTCTAGTAAGTGCTGGTCTCTGACATATTTCTTGATTGCTGGTTACTTTACTGTTGCTAATTGATCCTAAAAGGTAGAAGCTATCCAGCATTTCAATATTTACACTGCCAATTCTAAGGCTGGTTGCTTTTGCCATTAGGTTGGTCTTTAATCTTATTCCCACTGCTTTCATTACTAGTCCTTGGGGATCATTTGCATTTTCAATTATCAGAGTAGTGTCATCAGAATAGCACAGGCTATTGATTTTCCTCCTTTCATTTTAAAAACACTGATATCTTCTTCCAAACAAGCTTCCCCCAATATGTATTCCACATGTAGGAAGAATATGACAGTTTGGGGAACTAGTTCTGGCCTAGAAATCAGGAAATTGTGAGTTTTAGGCATCTCTTAGTCATGAAAGCCAGGTAGGTGTCTTTTGAGTCAATCATTCCCTCAGCCCAACTCACCTCGCAGGATTGCTGTTGAGGATAAATAAAAGGCAGGAAGTATTAGGTGTGTTCATAGTCATATACAGTATATCTAAAACTAGCAGGATAAATATATAACAATAATAGAATGCACAGTCTTGTTTCACTCTTTTGCCATCCTGCAGCCAATCTGTTTCGCCAAGTTCTGTCTGTACAGTATTGTGGCTTCCTAACCTGTGGATAGGATTTTTGCATGAGGACAATGAGATGTTCTGGAAAAGCCTTTTAATTGTCTGCATAAAATTTTCCTTTCCTTTTTCTTGTGGTAACTTCCATATCCTCAAAATCTCCTCAGAAATGGTGGAAAGCTCCAATCTTCTAGAGCAAATTCTGAGGTACCTAGGGAGCTATGGGTAAAAAGAAAACAAATGGTCTGCCCATGTGACTTTGGATTCCATCTACTATTATTTTGATCTACTGTCATCTAGTGTAATTTTTAATATATACTTTTAAAACAAAAATTTGACTTGTCTTAAATTTTAGGCAACAATAGCAATAGCACTTAGACTTATATACTGCTTCACATTGCTCTGCGGCTCTCTCTAAGCAGTTTATAGAGTCAGCATATTGCCCCCAACAATCTGGGTCCTCGTTTTACTGACCTTGGAAGGATGGAAGGCTGAGTCAACCTTGAACCGGTGAGAATCAAACTGCTGGTAGTCAGCAGAATTAGCCTGCAATACAGCATCCCAACAACTGCACCATCATGACTCCTAATTTCAAAAATGGATATTTTTTAAATTGCATTCTGCTTTCTCTTTCTTAACATTCAGAGTCATTGGGAGTTGGTTGGTGTATACACCATCATTATTCACTAGATTCTTTTTTTATAGATTAGCCTGAGTGGCATCTAAAGGTGTGATTGAAATTTTCTCTTTTCTTCTCCTGGCCTCCCTGTGTCCTCCAAATCCACCGTAGAGGATTATGGAATCCTCTGGACCAGATTTGGTGGACAAATAGTGGAAGGCAAGAAGAGAAATACTGGTGAAACATTGAATTTATTCTTTGATTAAGGATTCATGTACACTGCATCATGAAATATAACTGCAGGAATTAGTCCAGGCAATTATCAGGAATCAAAACTGACTCCAAGGTGCACACACAAACACAGACTTCATTTCATATCACACATATATTACATTAGCAACATTCTTATGAAGCTGTTAGAGGTAAGGTAGATAAAGTCTGGGTTCATTTACTTTACCCCTTATGCTGTCTTTCTAGTTACTATCACTGAAATAGCTGTTGTATAACTGTTCAGGGCATTTGTAACTTCATTATTACAGAACTTACTATTTTGTTTATTTTTTCTGTCTGCACAAGGAACACCTTGCTAAGTATTAGCATAGATACTCTGTTGTTTTCTCTTTGGCCATAAGGTGGCATTTTGTTGCTTCCATTTTAAGATATTCCATCAGGCATCTGAAGTAGGCTTTAGTCTCTCAAAATGTTTTTTAAATATAGAATGAGTTAAGTCTTTGAAAACTTTTATTCTTTTTGGATAGGGCATTATTAGAGTTCTAGAAATAATGATTCTGTGGATTTTGCTTGAAGGGAAACATGCACTAGATATGGAATCTTTAGGGAGGAAACTAAAAAAATAATAATCTTTTATTTGCTTTTTATTTTTTCCTTCTGAATGATTAATTAGTAGTTGTTGCTGATTTGTATTATCTAGGGTATCATGAAAAAGTCTCATAAGGTGGCTGTATCAAAGAAGAGGTGTTCTAATGTAATACATCTAAAATCACTTAAGTTTTACTAGTATGTAGCAGATTGTATTATTACTACAAATTCATTTGCGATCTCCTTACAGGAAATAGGAACAGGGGGTACTTGTCAATGGAAGATTTGTGGACTTAATCCCACTACAACTTTAGCTTTGTATTTTGAGGTGGTTAATCAGGTAAGAGAAAAGTAGCTGAATATCCTTTATTGAGAATAACAGGGTTGTAAAAAGGGAATTATTGTAGTTTTACAATTATGTGTTTCTACAAGGATATTGTTACTATTTTTTATGAAAATAGACTAATGTCTAGCCTTGATTGGCTTTGGGTAATATTATTTAAATATGGATATTAATGAAAATGAAATCTAGCAAAATTTTATTTTAAAAAATATATTTTATTGATTTTTTTTAATGTAATCACCTTAATATTTGGTAAATAAAATCAAGCAAAGCTACCATGTGGACTATAGAATTATAGAAACTAATTGTTAATTGATTTTTTAAAAATATAAACCCTAGCAAAATTTTAGAGAAGGTGGCCTGTAGTAATCTATGTGCTGAGTTTCTAAAATACATCTTTCAGTGCTTTTTAAAAAATGTTGCTTTACTGAAAATTATTTTTAAAAGAAACATCACTAGAAACACTAAGTAATTATGCTATGTGGTATATGACTAACTAAACTTAGTTCCCTAATATTTGCATCTTCAAATAAGGCTGGTCAAACTGGCAATTATTATATAACAGTTTGCAAAGAAGAAGAGCAGCAGTTACTTTGTTTTCTGCCTTGATCCTATTCTGCTACTTCCATCAATTATAGTTTCCTATTTGTAAAATATATTTTAGAAATAATAGATTAAAGTTATTTTAATCAGATCAGAATCACAACATAAAATTAGACTGTGAAGAAAATGTGGATAAAATTGCTTTGTTTGACCATCAAAGATGAAGAAAAGCAAATTCTATGTTTGTTCTTCATTTGAATTGTGCCAATTTGATGAGATAAATAAATAAATAAATATTGTAAAAACTCCTGTTTGATAAATAATAGGAAACAGGAAGGTCCCATTTTATCTTACCTGTGCCATAAATTCAATAGATGTGTGCAGACAAATCAACATCAACAGTCCCAGCACCTCCATATATAATATGAGAAAAATAGTATTATTTATCTTAACCTGTTACAATTACAGTATAGCACTTAGATATTTTTCTATGTTAAGAATTGTTAACTTGTCCAATTTAATATAAAGCAGGCTGTATTCTCAGTGTTGATTAAAAACCATTTTTGTTTTGAGAAATCTGTGTGTATTTCAAAGTTACTCTGGTTTTAGATATATTTAGATATATATCTAAATATATATAGATAGATATATTAGATATATTGTAGCTAAAGATGATTAAAATTTACTGATTTGTTAATTTAGCTAGCTTTTGGCAGATAATTTTTGGAATGGGTTGGGTAATACAGTTATCTTAAGTTCCTTTCTCAGTGTCTTTGTGATTCTCTCTACCTTTCCACTTGTCAAAACAGCACAATGCTCCAATTCCTCAAGGTGGACGGGGTGCAATTCAGTTTGTGACTCAATATCAACATTCAAGCGGACAAAAGCGTATTAGAGTAACCACTATTGCCAGAAAGTAAGCATTAATTTTTGATATAGCATTCCAGATATCTGAATGATATGTACATTAGTTAATAGTATTCAATGGGGAAATGATGCTTTGATAGACAAGTTGAAACCTTGCATCTAGGTCAGACATGTCAAACACAAGGCCCGCAGGCCGAATACAGCCCGCTAAGGGCCCAAATTTGGCCCCTGGAGCTGTTCACAGAAATGGCAAGGAACCAGCCCCTGCTGCCCCAGCCCTGGCCCAACCCAATCCGGCTGGGCGGTCTCCCAGCGCACGCACAGGAAATGGTGAGCACTCGGAGGCTGGTGGTGCGCAGGAGCAGCTGCAGCTCATTTGCCTCACCCTGCCCCACCCGGCCTCACCCCACCCCTCCCAGCCTCGCCCGTCACACTTTCACTGGGATTGGTAAGGCATTCAAAATGTTTTAGAAACTGTTTCCTTTCAAGGGTGAGGCCTTTTCAGAGATGTTTATCCTGAGCTTACACTTAGGAAGAGTTATTGTTCTATATTTGTTTCTCAACTGTTTGTTTTCATTATTGTAGATAGAAAAGAACAAGGAGGGGATTACAACGAGAGAGAGGGAGGGTCTGAGGGAAGTGCTGTCTTAGCATTTGGCCACCAGCAGCCCTGCTGCCCTTTTGCCATCCCCTTGTCTCCTCATCTTGATCTCTCCTGGTGGTCTCCCATCCTATTGCTGAGGATACTTTAGTTACAAAGCCAGGTTTCCTCATATGGAGAGAGAGTGGGCCTCCCTCTGACCCACATACTTTGCCCTCCCACACATATCATGGCCAAGGAGAGCAAGAACAGCAGCAGCAGCTTTGCGGAGGAGATAAGTGCAGCAGAACGCCCACTTGGGATAGCAGGGCTGGGCTAGGCTCTGGGGTCCCAGTGCCCTGGGAGCTCGAGGACCAGGCTGGATCCCCCCAGCCCTGCTCAGAGCACACAGGTACCCCCCAACACAAGCGATGTTGAGCTGACCACGCCCACCCTGACCACGCCCACCTGGCCCCCTGAGGTGAACCACAACCCTGATGTGGCCCTCAGTGAAATTGAGTTTGACACCCCTGATCTAGGTTGCAATATTAAACCAAATTTATACGCTTGAGAAGTTAGTTTTTTTTATAAAGCAGAGTTTGTTGGGGGGAGAGAGAGAGTGAGCGCAAACACATTGTAAAACAGTTGTTCAGAATTCATTTTGAATCAGACATGTATACAATTCTGTTGAAGTACAAATTGATTAGCAAAAGACAAATCCACAAGATTGGGACATACAAGCTCTCTGTATAGAATTATACAAATTAGAATGTTCATATGATTGTAACACCAAAACATTTGCTTAGATAGTGAGATTAATGAGCTAGCATTTAACTATGAGATAATCAGGTAGGACTACAAAGCAGTAATAGTTTTATAAAGACAGTATTTGATGAATATAATTTCCTTCTAGAGAGTTCTTGTTATGGTTTTTATCAAAGTATACCTCATTCCTCTTAAGTCTATTCCTGGAATCTTTTTCTAGTTTATCAGCATTCTTTCACTTTGCAAATGGTTTGTGGTTTTGCTGTTTATTTTTCTCTGGAAAAGTATATTTGGAGAGGGGTATAAATATTTATCTACCCTAATGCCATATTTTCTCCTTCAATATACATTTGTGGATTGTTTTTAATTATAAAAGAGTAGAATTCAAATTTCATAAAACAAATATAAGTGTTTCTGCTGAAATTGTAATGCTTGATAACATTATTTAAAATAGCAACATTCTGCTTGCAGTACAGATCTAATATGCATTTGGAATCATGCCAAACTACCCATGTGAATTAGGAAGGGCTTTCCCTACATTGGATTCTAATTTGACTTATTTTGGTGGGTAATACTTAGAATTATCAATATTTATCATGTAATAGACGTAAATAATAAATACTGGCTATTATGTAGAAAGTGAAGTTGGATAAGGAATTAAAAAACCTGAATTACTTTTTTTGTGCAAAAAATATACTTTAGGATAAAAGTCATGAGTTTTGCTGGGACAGGTTTTGTTGCTAGTACAGTATGCAGTAATCCACATCAGGTACTACTTTCTTCTGGGAAGTATTAATTGCTGGTTGTTCTGCGAAGAATGCTCTGCTATATTGTTAAAAATGAATATGAAGAAAAGTTCAAATTTGTTCAAGGCACAAAATTATAAAATGCTCTTTCTGCTGCTATTTGGCTAAAGTTGTGATAAAATAGTTGTTGTTTTTCATTTCGCAGCTGGGCAGATGCTCAGACACAAATTCAAAACATTGCAGCTTCTTTTGACCAGGAAGCAGCTGCTATCCTTATGGCAAGATTAGCAGTCTACAGAGCTGAGACTGAAGAAGGACCTGATGTGCTTAGGTGGTTGGATAGACAGCTTATCAGATTGGTAAGGCATTCAAAATGTTTTAGAAACTGTTTCCTTTCAAGGGTGAGGCCTCTTCAGAGATGTTTATCCTGAGCTTACACTTAGGAAGAGTTATTGTTCTATATTTGTTTCTCAACTGTTTGTTTTCATTATTGTAGATAGAAAAGAACAATTAAGAGTCTATGTTTAAATATAGGCACCATGGCAGTGATCTTGTATGATTAATTATTGTTAACTACTTCAAAAATCTCTGTAGAAATCAGAGAATTAGTAGAGCTTCTTTTGGGCAGAGTAACAATTCAGAAAGCCTTTCTGAATATTAATGGATAATAAAAGTTTTTAGCCCACTTTTAGTTGATTAAACAATTCCTGTAATAGGAGTTTTCAGAGGTAAATATTGAGCTGGATCCAGATCTTCTGTAAGCAGAGGTTGGCTGCAGACACAGAGCATTTCTGCTCCTGAATAATTGGCTAGGAGGTAGTTTTTATTATTCCTTTGTTACCCATAATCTATTTTAGGGCATGGAACCCCTTTAGAACACTATAGAACACTAATGGAGAATTAGCAAAAATCACTTCCCTCCTTTTCTTTGATTGCTGAATCAGAGATTTCTGCCTAGAGCTTTTCTTGGGCTATGGACAGAGTGGTTTCTTTGAATTCAATCTATTGAGATTAGGCTAGTGTATATGCTAATAATGCTAATAATATTTAATGATATGTAAAGAGCAGTGTTTTGTTATTGTTAATCCTTTGCTCATTTGTATTTAAGCATGAAATAGTTCTCAAATAGTAAAATATCTTTTTAAGAACAAGTAGGTTCTGCACATACTAACAATCCAATTTAATATGCTATTTATAAAATAGCAGTTGCATTAACAATGACTTTAAATAGCTTTTGTGAGTCCAGTGGATTATGAACCTAGTAAAGAAGTAGGTATTTTTTGTTCTAGCTCATGTCCAAAGTGAGGCTCTCATTTTGGTCACTTGCCAGCAGAAAAATTCCCACACTATGAAGCAGCTTCTGAATTGGATCTTCTGAATATTCTGACTGCCACCTGCAATACTCTTTCCTAAAGTTGTGCTTTTTAATTTCTTTTAGAACTGATCATGTTCCTCTATTAGGTCTGATGCAAATCCAGTGCTTTAAAAATACTAAAACCATAGTTGGAAATAATAAACACCTGAAAATCTGCTCACTGGATGATGAAAAATATTAGGAAAATTGACACTTGGTTTTTAACCTGACATATTTTGTATAATGACATGTTAATGTAAGAAATATTTATTTGAAGGTGATTGCTACTTGTATAATTTTTATATTAACAGAGTTTCTCTCCAAATATGTAAGTTGTCATAGTTTTTTTCAATTGCTGCATCATTCAAGTAACATTTTATTGTCTGGAAATCATAGTTGTGAACATAACTGAGAGCAAAAAAGTAGCGTAAAAATAGAGAAACTATTTAGAAATATTCCTAACTATTAAAGTTGATGGAACTTTTGTCAGTAATATTAATGGATACAGAATGACTCAAGCCTTAATACTTTTCTGAAATCTGGTTTTCAGACTTTTAGAGGAAAATATAGTACATATTATTTTACAACATAATAATATTAAAAATGCCATACTGAACACATTGACTTTGTTTTTAAATTTCCCAGTGCCAGAAATTTGGAGAATATCATAAAGATGACCCAAATTCCTTCAGATTTTCAGAAACTTTCTCCCTTTACCCACAGGTGAGTAAGAATAAAGCATGATTAAAGTCTGACAAAAAACATGTGAACGCAGAGTAGTGTATCTTATGACAGATTAGGAGTGAAATGCAATAGATAAAGTGGAAAATTATTGTAACCTATATCTTGGAGATTTTGAGGCAAGCAACTCAGTTAATGGAAGTGGAAGTACCTGTCTCTAGGTTTCTGTAAAAACGTTAGAGATGAGAAAGGCAAGGATTTAAAAAAATTGATAGAGGCAACCATGAGCAGTTCTGGAAGGGGCAAAACAGTAGGTTGCTTTCAGCTTTATGACATTTCAGTAAAATTGGGTGCTGCATATTTTATGCATGACTTTTTTTTTGGTAATGGGATTTAAACCTCTGTGGAGAGGTTGCAGTTATTATAATAGAAATCGGAGTCTTAGCAATCAGACTGGAAAAGCAAAACTGTTTTATTCTCTTAAAGCAGGGGTGTCAAACTGCCGGCCGGTTGTATCATACAGAGACCATGCCCACCCCAGTTCCAGCAATGCAAAAAAAGTCGCGAGTTTGACACCCATGTCCTAAAGAATATTACTTGCAACTTTTCAAGATTAAATTGATTGTATGATATTTTTGGAAACTGCTTGATTTCATCATGAACTAAAAGATTCATTAAGTTTAAAAGTTTGAGTATAAGATCTATATATTCAGAAGTATTATATGCATCAATCTATACTGTAACTGTTTCAAGAGGGGAATCCAAAAATATTTCTCATTCAGATAATACAGTATTAGTGTGCTGATCTGAATTTGATGCACAATTAGCTTAAACATTTGCTATAATAGAGTTAAGTTGGACTTGTTTTCTTTTGTAGTTTATGTTCCATTTAAGAAGATCTCCTTTCTTACAAGTTTTCAATAACAGTCCCGATGAAAGTTCTTATTATCGTCATCACTTCATGCGTCAAGATCTGACTCAGTCACTTATAATGATTCAACCAATTCTTTATGCCTATTCTTTTAATGGACCTCCAGAGGTATAGCACATAAATATTACTTTAATATAAAGTAATATAAATATTACTTTATTTCTTAACTAATTGGCACAAAACTGTCTTTGAAGCTTTTTGATGGTTTCGAGCATATTTAATGAATTGTGTTTTCTCTTTATATTAGCCTGTTCTTTTAGACAGCAGCAGTATTCTGCCTGATCGCATACTTCTCATGGACACTTTTTTCCAAATTCTTATTTATCATGGCGAGGTAAGAAGAAATCATTTTTGTTTTCATTACAAAAGTCTTTGAGTAGTAATTATAGCCAATATTTGCTATTATTGAAATGGTACTCAGTCTCTGAGAAAATTTACCATATAGTCTGGGGAAAATGTAGATCTGAAATCAGCAATGGGCAGGTTCAGAGCCAGAAGTGATCTTTACAGAAGTGATCATTATCACTTTTTTGTCTTTTCTTTTCCCTGCTATTTCTCTATTCACCTCTGTGTAGAAGGGACAGATAGACACATATGCTGTACACTGTAACACATTCCATAAATGGTTACATATAAAGATTCTTTTTTTGTCATTACTTTTTCCTTTCTTTGCACTTTTATCTTGGTTTTTGTCTGATTCTTTTTTTTTACTTTTTTTTTACCTTTTACTTTTAATGTTAATTTTTATTCATTTTTAAATTTAATAAAAATCATATTAAAAAGAGATTTTGACAACTGATAAAAAGTGCTATCTAGTATAGTTAGTAAAAATCTACTACTAGTAAGTTATATATTTTTTAAAGTTTTGATCAATTTGAATTAACACATGGCATGCATGGAACTAAGTAGGCACATGGCATGCATGGAACTTAGTAAGTAATTTATGACATAAGTGTATTAAAGATACATGAATATTAAACAATTGTTGAGTTGCTATTAATAAAGATTGCAATACTAAAATTAATCAATAGATAATCTATTGTGGTATTATCCTCAGTGTACTCTTTCAGTGTTTGTATTTGATTTGTAGTTGTTATTTACTTGTTTTAATCCTGTTGCCCAAGTCCCTTTGTAACTGAGGCAGTATATGAATAATTGAATAATAATAATAATAATAATAATAATAGTAGTAGTAGTAGTAGTAGTAATAATAATAGCAAAAACAATTTTAATTGATTTACCTTGATCTAGTAATCTCACTATTAAATGATTTATATTAAATTTTCACTAAGCAGTTAATGTTGAATAATTGTCTCTAGACTATAGCTCAGTGGCGCAAATCAGGCTATCAGGATATGCCAGAATATGAAAACTTTCGTCATTTGCTCCAAGCTCCATTTGATGATGCACAAGAAATTCTTCATTCAAGATTTCCAATGCCACGATACATTGATACTGAACATGGGGGTAGTCAAGTAAGTTACTTTGATTTCTACTTGGGGGATTATCTGATAAATAAAAACCAGATTGTTTTGGTAGAGTTCTTTGGTAAGCTTTATTTCATATAATTAAAGGGAGCATGATTCAGTATGTATTATCCTGCATGTTGAGCTTGGGAGGGGCATTCTTTCGTATAATCAAAACATACAAACAATAGCCTTATTCCCAGTTGGGAACCACTTATAGAACACCCAATAGATACTTTAATTTCTGTCATGCTTTCTCCAGTGCAGTATTGGAATGATGTGAAACCTTTAATGTATTGAATTAGCACATTGTTGCTCAAAGATGTGCTATTTGGTTGTTAAAGAAAAACATCATTGTTTGGGGGTGTGCAGCTCTTTTGATATACATTAGTACTTAAGAGTAGTATATTTATATACATGATAGGTAGAAAACTGTTAATACTAGTATGCATTGATCTTGTTTTTTGATGTATAAGGAATTATGTAGATGAGGGCACAATGTAGCAAAAGACTCACAGATTGTCACAAAGTCTCATACAAATGCAAATGCTATGAAAAATGACCTTGCTATAGGAATCTGATAGGTGTACATGATGTGATTGAAACAATTTTAACTGTTATTTAATAAAATAATGTTTTTCTTTATTTCTTTCAAGGCCCGTTTTCTACTTTCTAAAGTAAATCCATCTCAAACACATAATAATATGTATGCTTGGGGACAGGTGAGTCTTAGCATGATTAATCAAACTGCATAGATTAACTAAAATTATATTATTTCCTGTAATAACTTTCTGAGCATCTTCTTCAAATTAAGGACTAAAGGTAGATACTAAGATGGAGTAGTAAATTAATTACTTATTAAATTAAGAAATTATTAGTTTTTTCTAGAATCACATACATTTTTGATAGAAAGTCTTCTCTGAGACTTTTTAAATAGGGCAGATCTTCAAAGTCCTTAAGGAAGTGTACATTTTTAAAAACCTGCTTTTTCCCATCATTTTAAGAATTTGATAAAACGATATTGCATATATGTACTGAAAAATAGATCAATAATTTTATTGTACTATAGATTATTATTCTAGTAGATACAGAGGGTCAAAAACCTGACTCACTTTTTTAGAAGACAGATTTGTGAAATGAAAGTACAACATGCTCATGAACTAAACTGCAAAGCAAATGTGAGATCTGAATCCAAGATACACAGCATCTGTTTTCAAGTAATTTTCTATTCTTACATGTATTTTGCAAAAGGCAAACCTTTATATTTTGAGACAATTATTTTGATGGGGAAACTAAATATGAAGTGTAAAGCATAACACCAGAAACTTCTAGTAACAGATGTCTGTACCACAGCACAAAAGATGTCCATTCATTGATGGCAAACTGATTAAGTTTAAAGGAATGGAACCCTGAGGCTAGGACACATTCTTAGAAATAAGGATGTTGCTGTAACTCAATGTTTGTTTTGCATGATGCTCGCCTCACAATATTTTTAAATCTATAAAAAATGACCAGGAGGGCAGCATTCCTGACAGGTCCACGTGTTTGAAGGAAGAGTAGTTGCACATAGGCAACCCAACTGGGGACTCCCATTTTTCACAGCTTCTTTTGATTCCTTATAATAAATTTATGTGACACAAAAGGCTTTCTTATTTATGAGGAAAATGTATATAGCTGCCCATCAACTAAAAGGAACACTGAGTGGTGAACAGAATAAAAATACATTACATTAAAAACCACAATTTAAAACAATAAACCGGTTAAAGTCCGAGTAAAACTTACATCCATTCACCTGGCTCCTATGCCTGGGGGGAAAAGCCAGATACGTACTGCTTTTCTGAAGGCCAACAAGGCCAGGACTGTCTGAATCTCTGGGGGGAGGCTACCGTATATCATAAGGCAGGCACCCTGACAGAGAAGGCTGCTAACATCTTCCATTCTGCAATAGGAATCTGGAGCACCAATTCTTACAGATGATGTCAGTCTGCAAGTCTTCATGGATCATTTGAAGAAACTAGCTGTATCAAGTGCTGCTTGAAAAAACGTGGAATTTCAGACACACTGACAAGTTGAAACATTTTCACTTTATTCTTTGTATGTAATTGTAAAACTGAATGCCCAAGCTGCCTAACTACATCTTACAACAATGTAATTTTCAAGAGAGATTGTTTATTATCAAAGGCCTAAGAACAAACATAGTTTTAAAAAAATAAATGAAATAGAGAGAAATTGAGAGAAGACTTTTAGGTTGCCTTAATCCATTGATACTAGCTTTTTAAAAATATTCTAATGGTGGAAAGTATTCTGGTTTGCACTGCAAAAATATGGCATAATCATGCTTATTCCTTTTCACTAGCAGAACAAAGAAATTGATAAAATATTACAAATCCAACTTGGTAATATCTGAAAATATTTATTTTCTCTGTTTAGCTATACATGGATGTTTTAGTAGTTTTGTTTTTCATTGTTTGGTAGATAAATTGTTTCTAAATGAAGAAACCAAGCAAACAGAATGAAAAAAAAATGTTATCCAGTTGTTATCCAGATCTTACATTTTGATAGTCTTCTAGTGTTCTGTATCAATCTTGCTACAATTATTCAAATACTATAAAACTGAGTGGGTTCAAGAAATGAAAATTAATATCCAAATGTCTTTGCAGGAGAATACAGAAATTGTACTATAAATAAAAAACATTGTTATCTGTTTCCCAAATATACTTTTTTGTTATAATCATGTAACAGTATAAATTTGTGTGGTTTTGTGCTATGATCTCTGTTTTGCTATTAAATTATATAGGTAGCAATTCTTTTCAAAACAGTATTATACACTACACGCCATGATTACTACAAATCTGATAATATTTAACTCTGTTTTTTTAGAAAATCTATATTTACACACATATACATATCTTTAATAAAATTTTTCTGTTTGAATACAGATTGGCTTGTTGAAACTATTTCTATACTTGAAAAATGACTTGATAAAGGAACAAAGATCTTTTTAAATATAGATACCCAGACATATCCTGTGGCCTTGCAAGCTATATTGTAATGCATGAGTTCCTTGGCCCTCAAAAGAACTTGAGCCTAAGGAGGAGTTTGACAATACATTTCAAGAGACAATCTCCTTAGCAACCTGGACTTAAGCATCCTTCATTTCAACTCTAGCACAGCGGTTCTCAACCTGTGGGTCGCAACCCCTTTGGGGGCTGAACGGCCCTTTCACAGGGGTCGCCTAAGATCATCGGAAAACACATATTTCCGATGGTCTTAGGAACCGATTGGCGCGCTTGAGCCCGATTTTTGAAACACACTCAAATAAAGGTGGTGACGTTACAAAAGCTAAGGCGGTGGGGGCGGGAGAGGAAGAGTCAGCGAGCCCCAGCCAGCGAGTAAGCCGAGCCAGCCAGTCAGGCTGAAAAGAAAGGGGGGGGCTCCCGAACCCCAACTTTTTCCCCCTCCCTTCCTTTCCTTTGCAACTTGCAAAGGAAAGGTACCCCCAGATTGAAGCCCAGGAAAGCTGGAGAGCTTTGCAGGGGGTCCTGATTCCCCTTTACTCCACCACCAGCACCGCTGCCAGACCAGCCAACTGCTGGGGAGAATTTCCCTTCCCCCCCCTTCTCCCTCTTTTTTTAGTGCAATAAAAAAAAGTCCTAGTCTGTTTTTTTTTTTCCTTTTCTTTCCCTCTTCTCGGCTTTTTAAAAATAGCAGCCGGGGGATCCTCAAGCCAAGAGTCATTGCTGGGGCATTTTTTTTTTTAAAAAAAAGTCCTTCCCAGGTGGGGAATCTTTCTGCACTTCTTCGGCTTTTCTGAGCCGGGGAGGGGAGAGCTGATTGGACGGGGGCCTAGGAAGAAGGGAAAGACCCACCGGAGAGGTTCGCCTGCTTTTCTGCTCAAGCAGCCGGCAAGGAAAAAGCCCCGGAGGGTCGGGTGTCTGGGTTTTTCAATCGCTTATTAAATATGCAATGGCTTGGCCGTTTAATAGTTTGCTCAAACTTTTTAACCTCCCGGATTTATCACCTTCAAATATCAACGAATAAATGGCATATTAAAAAAAAGAAGTAAATCACAGGAAGAGCCCATTTAGGAACGCGAGAGAAATAATATTCAAGAGGAGAAGATCGGGTGAATTTGATGCCCCCTAACAGAAGGTGGGGGAGAAAAGTTGGAGAGCGGCTTGTTTTATTTGCTCAAAATGCTTTTCAAAGGCTCCAATATGCAAAAGAGGGGAGGGGGGTTGTCAAAAGAAGGCAGCATATCCAGACTTCTGCCAGATTCAGACTGTGTGATCCCCTCGTTTTTTCCAGTCCAGCTTCTCCCCGCCTTACTTTTTCTGCAGAGAAAAACCAAGCCTACTTATTTTAGAAATTAGTTTCTGTCCATCAGGAAGAGAATGTAAAATGAGAAAAAGATCTCACGAGTTTCAGGAAAAAACCTTTGGAGAGGTCTGAGAGTTTAAGATTGGGAGGCTTTTGTTGAAATTCCCTCTCCACTCCCCCCAGCCAAATCTATCCCACCTGGAGACCTATACTTAAGGCAGAATATCCTTGAGGATTCCCTGGTAAAAACTGTCTTTCACATTAACCCAGTTGGTCTCCCTCCGGGACAGGATCCTGCTGACTCTATTTGTGTTATTTGCTAAAGTTATTGGCCATCATTTTAGGCTTCGGGTTTTTTTTTCTTTTGCAGGGAGGGGATTAGATGCCATGCAAAGCCAGCCCTCTCCCTTGCTTTAATTTACTGCTGGATGCATTAAACCAGTGGTTCTCAACCTGTGGGTTGGCTTTTTATGCATACTGTCGCAAAATGTAGCAATGTAGTTTACTGTTGTTATGTTAAGACTGTTACCCATGCTACACCATGCTTCAAGACAAAATTTCATTTATTTGTAATTAGAAATAAATATTTCACAATATATAATTACATATTGTTTTTGTGATTAATCACTATGCTTTAATTCTGTTCAATTTGTAACAATGAAAATATATCCTGCATATCAGATATCTACATTATGATTCATAATAGTAGCAAAATTACAGTTATGAAGTAGCAATGAAAATAATTTTATGGTTGGGGGTTACCACAACATGAGGAACTGTATTAAAGGGTCGCGGCATTAGGAAGGTTGAAAGAGGGCATTTGTAGTTTGATTGTGAAAGGACAAGTTTGCTTGACAGTTCCTCATTTTAGTTGATCCTATAAGAACTGTTATTTGAGATGAATACTTGTGGGTTTTTTTTTCCAGAATGTAAGGGTGCAGGCCCAAGCTATGCTTTTTACCTTGTTAAAAAGTAGGGTAAAATGTTTCAAATATTAGATGAAGCAAACTGTGCTTCATTCTTATAGGTTGAAGTTAATAAGTGAACATCAATACTCAAGTTAATGTATTGTCAGGTCTTTAAATGAGGGTAAAAAGAGTCTTAGTAAATCAGCCAAAAATTCTGTCTAGCTGAGCATTCGTTTTTCCCATCTATGTGAAGTCCATAAAAACTTGAGAATGAATGCATGGATCTTAGGAACAACTTCTGTGATTCCAATATCACAAAAAGGAAACTCATTTTTACTGATTTAACTACCACAATTTCTTGATTACTTTATGCCAGTTTAGGATGTGAGATTACTTTTTTTTAGTTTAGTTTTCACATAATTTAAACCAAGTTTTATTTTAAAGGTAGTTTGTTTGAATGAATTCCACCTATTTTATTGAAATCCCCAACTGGACTTTCTTGTGAATTGTTTATGGAAACAATTTACACTTTTGCAGTTGGGTTATGAATATTGGCATATTTTATTTATGGTTTGTATCTGAATCCAGAATCCTCTCCTGTTCCTGGTTTTCTGTCCCCAACACACCTTTTGCTAATTCACAGATATATACAGTAAAGTTTATCCACAAAACATAGGCAAAAAAGCCCCTTATCTAACATAAAATACTACGAATATGCATGCAAATTTGTGATTCTTTGGTTAGGATCTTTGAGATGTCATCAGTAACAACAATTGATAGCAATCATACTAAACCCACAATCATTTTGCTGATATAGATGGGTACCGTAAATGCCGGCGTATAAGACGACTTCCGCGAGTGCTGAAATCGGCGCCAAAGACGGGGGTCATCTTATACGCTGAGTCGTCTTATATGCCGGAAATACTGGTAGTTTCCAGCGTATAAGACGACGTTCTAGGAATGCGGCCCGGCTATAAAGACGGGGGTCGTCTTATACGCTGGGTCGCCTTGTACGCCGGCATTTACGGTAATTCTGGTTTGTTGAATATATTTAAGATAACTTTGGTGTAAAGTTATTTGCATATATAGCCAATGTATTATTTTAATTTTGATTCCCTTTTAATGTATCTGCTATTTTAGTGCTCATTTCTCATGATACAGAGACTTTTTCCAGTACTTTACTATCCCTTTCAGTTTTACCCACTCTAAATAATTTGGAGTCATCTCCTAACAGCAAGTTTTCTGTTAATGGATAGGATGACTCTTCACAGCTGGACTGGGAGTGTTGACAGAAGAGGCTGTGGGGTGCTCGCCTTGGGTGGTAGCAAGTTGAATTCCTATCCAAGACTGTAGCTGCCTGAATGCTGTGCAGAGTGTCTTAGAGCCCATTATTCTCCCCATTCCTATTTTACATTTGGGAAAGGTCATTTGGGAGGCATGGTCAGGTATTAGCCATAAGCAGATGATCTATCTCAATCCATGATTGATCAAATAAGGTTCTGTCCTGGTGCCTGGAGGTTTTTAGAGTTTGGAACAGGTGGAACAGACTTGGACTCAGACTGAATGTCTATGAGTTTAATAAGCTTCTGTTTCCAGGGATTTTCCAAAATTAATTACTGATGGGATTCTATTATCTCGAACAGCATTTGTATATAGTTTTGGTGTTCTGGATTTTCTGTTCTTCCTTAGTAAGCAAATGGCAACTGTGCCAGGGGGCCTTTGCTCAGTTATGTTTGGCACTCCAATTCTAGATTGGGTAATCTGTTTATGCCTAAATCATTTTGTTTGGACTAATGTATGCTTGATGATTATCTGGGAGCTACAGCTGGTCTAAAATGAAGCTGTACAATGAGTAATGAGAATGTGTCATTTTGCTACATCTCTATTTTATAAGCTGCACTGGTTACTAATTGGCTTTCAGATGTAATTCAAGATGTTGATTGTCATTTATAAAACCCTTCATAGCTTGGGCCTTAGGTACCTAAGAGAATCCCTTTTCTTCTTTGTTTCTGCTTATCTGGTAAGATCTCACAGGGTCAGCATGCTCCACTGTCCCATGAGCAAAGCAGTGCCATTTTACAGCTCCCCAGAGACATGGTTGCTCCTGTCTCCTGAAGTCTGCATGGCTCAAACTCAGTTGCCCCTACCAGTGTTTCTCAACCTTGACAATTTTAAGGCATGTGGACTTCAACTCCCAGAATTCCACAGCCAGCAATGCTGGCTGTGGAATTCTGGGAGTTGAAGTCCACATGCCTTAAAATTGTCAAGGTTGAGAAACACTGCTTTAGACCCTTGAAAACCGGGCTTTTTACCTAGTCCTGAAGCAGGATTTTGTGACTTAAATGGTGATATGTATGTGCTGTATCATTTTTATTGGTTTTCCCCACTTCAGATGTTTATTATCTTCTTCCAACTGGATTTTTTTGTGTGGATTTTAATACAGTTATATTGCTTTATGCTGCCTAGAGTTGTTTCAGTGATTGAGGCAGCTAATATTGTTTAAATAGACAGTTTGGTAAACTCTTTCCCTTGAGTCCAAATCAATTAAAACCAATTAAAATGCATAACTGTGGATTGTTCTAGTGCTTACATCCCTTCTGTTTATTAAGGTTGTGCAACGCTTTTGAAAGAGGTGTTTTATTCTGTGGCTTTACTTTTGTTTGGGTAACAGACCTAAAGAGTACAAAGTACTGGGGATTTCTGAAAGCTT